CTATCCATCCATCATCTATCATTAATCTTCATTATTTGTGGATTCTGAATTTGCAAATTCATCTACTCACTAAAATTTATTTGTAACCCCACAATCAATATTCATGATGTTTTCACAAACATCCATGAAGTGGTGAAAAATTGGAATCATCTCATGTGCATGTTTCCAACTGAGATCAAACAAAGATATGCTCAGTCTTCTTGTTTCAGCTCTCATACTATAAACAAATATCCCTTTTGCAGTCTATTTGCAGTCACTTTTTTCATTTTTGTACTTTTTGTTAATGATTTCACATTGTAAAATAGTATTCAAGTGTAGTGCCAAAGGTGCTGTCCAGTGTTCCTAAATGCAAGAAGGCTATGATGTGCTTTACAGACAAAATATGTTTTGGGTAATCTTCATCTAGGCATGAGTTATAGTGCTGGTGTCTGTGAATTCAATGTTACTGAATCAGCAATATGGCACAATTGGAAAAAGAAAGAGGGAATTTGCTTATTTATATGTGAGGCCACTCTAGAAAGTACTAAAGTAAATGTTGTGATCAGAGGCTTATAGAAACCTAACCCTGTATTTCCCCTAAGGGCAATGTGTGTATGTACACTTGTGTGTGTGTGTGTGTGTGTGTGTACACCTATCCTTTCTATAGATATTTCTATCTGTTATCAAGCAAAGAAATGCCCTTATTGTCTTTGTCCAAAAAAATGTCATATTCCTCATCTTGCGTCCATAGATACTGTCAAGAGGTGACTAGCATTCTTTGTCTTTGGTCCTGTGGAATTGTGGTTTGTCATGGAATTGATTGGAGTTATCAAGTCTTTCAAAGGTATTTTTCCTCTATAAAGTTGTTATTAATTAATTTTTCTCATGGTTCAACTCACTTCTTTCAGCATCAGTGAGTTCATAAAGATCTTTTGGGTTTTCTCTGAAACCATCCATGAAAGCAATTCTTAAATAAAAATTTAGGATGTATGTCTCCACTCCTAGTTTTCCTCTCCTTTATCACAAATTCTCATCATTTCTGTCCCAACGCCAGTTGAACTTTGTTAATGAGACTCAGATCCAGAATTGAAGTTTCCTAACTTTTAGGCTCTTTTGTCTTTTGAATGAGGAAATAAATGATCATTTAGTTATCATAGCAAGAACTATAGCAGATATCCAGATAGTTGAAATGCATCCATTGCTATGTTGTAATGCATTCTTGAGTCCTAGTCCCCAAACTCCTTTTCTATTTCTTCTTTCTCTTCAGTTCATCTGCAGTATATACCAATGACAGTATCATTTCTGTCTTTGCCTACTTTGATCTTCATCAAAGTGCTCTCCACCTTGGGTCCTCCATTTGGTTTCTGGATTCTCTCTCTTGAATGTGTCTTCTCATTCTTTGTTCCCACCACCTTCCTTTTAACTACTCTCTTCCTTTCGAATAAGATAGACCTTTTGAGAGCCACATTCCTATTAATAATAATACCTAGCATTTATAGTGCTTTACAAACATCTCATTTGATCCTCTTCACAACTGAGGGAAGTAGGTACCATTGTTGCCCCCATTCTACAAATAAGGGAGGCAGAGGTTAAGCAACTTATTCAGGATAAATAGCTAATAAGTGTTTTTTGGATTTGAACTCAGGTACTCTTGATTTGTCATCTAACACTCTATCCACTCTATCCACAGAACCACCCACCTACCCATCCTGTTCTATCCCATCGTATCTCACTAATGATTTTGATGAAACTTTTCTCCCCTTACTCTACTACTTTGTTTATTTTTGCATAGACACCTGAGGCTCTGGATTTTAATGGAGAAGTAGAACATAGTTGTGAATACAGTGCTGTGCTTGAAGTCAAGAAGAGGCTAGACTTCAGGGTCTGGCCTCTAGGGAAGTGAGTCAGACTTTCTCAACCTCCACTTCCTTATCAGTAAATGGGAATATTAAAAACCTCAAAGGGTCACAGGGTTTTTATGAGGTTCAAATTAGATGTAGGTAAAATGCTTTGCAAAATTTTTGTGTTATACAAATATTAATTAATAGCTAACACTTATATAACGCTTAATTTGCATCAAGCACTATGCTAAGTGTTTTATAATTATTATCTTATTTGATCCTCACAACAAACCTGGGAGGTAGGTGCTATTATTATCTCCAATTTAGAGATGAGAATACTGCAGAAAATAGAGGATAAATGACTTGTCCACAGAGGACGTAAGTGTAGGAGGCTGGATTTGAATTGAGGTTTTCCTGATTGCTCTATCCACTGCTCCATCTGGCTACCCTTAAAAAAAATCTCATAGAAGAAGATGTTTATCAGTCAATCTTATGGCTGGTTCCATTCTTAAATTTTCATCTTCTATTAATTGCTAGGTATCCTTATTGATACTTTTCTCCCTATAATGTATCTACTTGCTGTGGCACCTTCCTTGCTCAATGTATTTAGGGATTTCTTCCTTCCTTTTTCTTTGCAGTTGTTGAAAGGCTTTTGGAGTTGGATGTACGAGACTCCAGGAAAATATATTCTTAGCAGCCCTTGTTGAGAGTACTCTGTCTTGAGTCAGGAATTGTCATTTTTGTATTTTAAGCATAAATTCCAATCGTATTTTTAGATACCATCTTTTAATTTTTATTTAGTTTTGGTTTAATTCTTTTATTATGTCTTCTGTTTTGATATCACCTTCATTCCCAGATATGTTCCTCTCATATCCTTTACATAGCAAGTCATCCTTTGTAACAAAGAATAAGAGAGAACGATTAAAACAAAAAGCAGTCCAGTAAAACTAACCAGCACACTAGTCAGGTCTGAAAGTATACATATGCAATGTTCCACATGCCTAGTTTCCCACCTCTTCAGAGAAGGTAAATTTTTTCATCTCTTCTTTGGGGCCAAGCATGGCCATTATAATTACATAGTGTTCATTTTTTTCTTGTACAGATTTCTTCTTCTTAATCTGCTATTCACTTTCCAGCTGATTCATGTGGCTAGTCTCTACATAAATCACCAGAATTGGGTAATGGTTGTCAGGTCTGAGACGATTCAGTAGGCTCTCCATAATGTTTCCCATACGTGCTCCTGGAAAAAGGCATACGTTCTGATTTTTCATGTCAGGTTGACTTATGGACACCTTAATAACACTCAGCCAGGAACTATGGACCACTGGGACTCAGTTCTTCCTCCTGTAGCGAGGACTAGTTCTCTCTCCTTCCTGGCACTGCCTAGAGATCTTCAGCATCATCCCATGAATACAGGAGGCTACTTTCTCTATCGTAGGCCAAGCTGTGTGCTTCAGGGGAAGATCTTGGATCCTACTTCAGTATTCCATTGGTTCACTGACCTTAGGGAAGCTATTGATGACTTTTTCGATAGGGGAATGGCATAACGAAGACGGCATTTGAGAACAACTAAACTCTCAGTGGAATGTAGGGTGAAAGGAAAGGCTGATATGAGGGAAGAAAGGAGACAATAACCTAGATATGAGATAATGAGGGCTAAAAGCCAACTGAGTATCTGGTTGTTCTGAGTTGCTTTTGTCTTTCCATTTACCCTGTTTGAATGTTTCACCCCCACTTCCCAGGAAGTCTGAGAAAAGTGACCGTCCCTTAATTAAGCCTTCAAAACTAGTTCCATAAATTTTAAGCCAGGTAATTCCTAGCCAATAGCAGCAATACAAAATAAGTATAAGACCAGCCTAGGAAATTTGGTCTAGCCCTTCTTATCTATAGGCATTCATGAGCATAATGGAGAGAGAGCTGGCCTCAGAGTCAAAAAGAGCCAAGGCCTAAGCCAAATAGCTAGGTGTGCTGATCAAGTCTCTTAACTTTTGGTGCATTAGACAACTTTCTAAGACTATAAGCTGCAGAGAAGGTGTTCATGTGCTTTGGTAGAAGAAATTTCTTCACTTGGGTATTCCCAATACCAGTGAAGTCAGAGGTCTAATCTCTATAGCTATCCCTGTCCTTATTCCTATCTTTTCCACATGTCATGTAGCTAACGGGTTGAGTTCTGGAGAACTGAGGGTTGAATCCTGCCTCAGACACTTATATCTACAAGGTCTTGGGTAAGTCATTAATCTTCTCTGAGCCTCAGTTTTCTTCAAAATGGGAATTATAACAATACCTATTCCCACAGAATTTCTTTAAGGTGCAAACAATATTAATGGGAATGATGATAATGATGATGATGATGATTTTCTTCTGACCTGGCATCTACAGATGCACTGCTGCCATCATTGGATGGGTTACCTTGGTGGTAGGAATAATCTACCCTGGGAAAGTAATGAAAGTTCTAGGTAGAATATGATTCTGGGGATAGTATAGTTTTTCATTGGTTAGCTTACTTTTCTATATTAGGACATAAGGTACCTAATGAGGGTAAGTTTGGGCAGCTTTAGAAGAAGAGGACAGTATATTGAATGATAGAGAGGTGACAAGCACGCCATAGACCAATTAGTGTGGGTTGCCATTGATAAAGTACTGGTCTTTTTGATTCTAAGTATGATAGCTTCCCTTTTCTCCCTGATTGATACTGTGCAGGACCACCAACAGCTCACTCCCCATTTAAACTTTCCTATTGACTAACTTTTTTTTCTGATAGATTAAGATCAAGAATTATTGATTTAGAACTAGAAATGACTTTAGGCATCAAGTCTAACCTCTTCATTTTTAATGAAGCAAATAAGGCCTGGAGAAGCCAAATGACTTATCCAACGTAGTGTCAGAGATGGGATTTGAACCTAGGTTGTTTGACTTAGAGTCAGTGCTCTTTTCACTCTTGAATCTCAAATCAGGTTCCTTTTAAGGTGCTTGGGAATGGGGTAGTGGTGGTCAAAATAGGTAGACGAAGTAGAGGAATGTCCATGTCCAGTGGTATCAAGGGAAGGATATTTGACATTATTTATTTTTTAAACCATGAAAAACCTGCCTGTACTGTATTTACATGGGCTTTCTCTCCCTTTCTGCTTTTCTTTCTTTGCCCTTTGTCTTTCCCCATTTTCTTCCTTTCTTCTTGCCTAGGTGTGTTTGACAACTGCTCCCATGCTGTCAGTGACAAGGGCTGGGCCTTGGGTATCCACTCAGTGGAGAATCATGGGAGGAAGGATGCTCGTTTCTTCTTTTCTCTCCGCACGGACCGTGTGAAGAAGGCTACAATCGTGACTGGGCATAGCCGCTACTTGTCAGCTACATGGACACATTTAGTGGCCACTTATGATGGACGCCGCATAGCTCTGTATGTGGATGGAGCTCAAGTTGCCAGTAGCCTGGGTCAGTCTGGCCACTTGCACAGCCCATTTATGGCATCTTGCCGTTCTTTAATCCTGGGTGGGGACAGCTCAGAGAATAGGCACCAATTTCGTGGGCACATGGGCACTCTGACTCTCTGGAATACAGCACTTCAACAAAGCCAGCTCCAGCAGAGTTTCTTGCAGCCAAGTGGGTATGGGGACTTAGCTTCCTTGGCACTCAGTGCTAATTTTGCTCCAATGGAACAGCAATGGGTAACCTTTAAAGATGGGGAATTTCCAAGACTTGAGATGCTCCAGGATCCAGAGCCTGAGCCTGAGATTTTGTACCCTCTCATGCCTCCACCCTGTGGGCAAACTGCCTGTGACAATGTGGAGTTGATCTCCCAGTACAACTGGCACTGGCCACTGAGGAGCGAGAAGGTGATCCGTTACCAAGTGGTGAACATATGTGATGATGATGGACTGCACCCTACTGTCAGCAGTGAGCAGATCACCCGTCAGCATCAGGCATTGCGTGCAGCCTTCAGTCAGTACAACATCAGCTGGCAACTGAGCATCCATGAAGTGCGTAACTCCACCTTGCGCTATCGGGCTGTCCTGGTGAACTGTGAGCCCAGCAAGATTGGCAATGACCACTGCGACACTGAGTGTGAGCACCCGCTTACTGGCTATGATGGGGGTGACTGCCGCCTTCAGGGACGCTGCTATTCATGGAATCGAAGGGATGGTGTGTGCCACATGGAGTGCAACAACATGTTGGATGACTTTGACGATGGTGACTGCTGTGACCCTGATGCGACTGATGTACAGAAGACATGTTTTGACCCTGACTCACCCAAGAGGTAAGAAAGAGGGGTTTGGGTACTTTCTGCCTCAAGACTGAATTCACGACCTTTTCTTTTTCAGAGTCCTAGGATCCTAAAGAATGTGCACACTAACAAAGCGAAACAAAAAAAGAAACAAACCCCAAAGCTCCTGCCCCATAATGTGAATTGGTTGCTATTTAATAGAGGCGTACACTGAAATTAATTAAGTAATGCAAATTATATGTTAGAACAATTTTTAAAGATTGCTAATAATTGGGTAATTATGGGCATTGGTGCCCCAGTCATGTAACAGTGGAAAGAATGTTGCTTTTTTCAAACATTTATTTATTTATTTTTGGTTTTCAACTGTAATATTTTGAGCTCTAAATTTCTCACCCTCTCTTCCCTCCCCCCTCCCCAAGATGGCATATAATCTGACATAGGCTATACATGTGCAATCCTATTAAACATATTTCCACATTACTCATGTTGTAAAATAGAATCAGATCCAAAGGGGAAAACCAAAACAAAGAAAAAAAAACAAACAAAAAGAGAGAAAATAGTATGCTTTTATCTGCATTCAGACTCCATAGTTCTTTCTCTAGATGTGGATAGCATTTTCCATCTTTAGCCTTAGAATTATTTTAGATCATTTCATTGCTGAGAAGAGAGCTGAGTCTATTAAAGCTGGTCGTCATGCAATGTTGCAGTTACTGTGTACAATGTTCTCCTCATTCTGCTCACTTCACTCTGCATCAGTTCATGTAAGTCTTCCCAGGTTTTTCTGAAATTCACCTGCTCATCATTTCTTGTTGAACAACAATATTCCATTACATTCATATACCATAACTTGTTCAGCTATTCTCCAATTGATGGTCATCCCCTCAATTTTCAATTCTTTGCTACCACAAAAAGAACTGCTATAAATATTTTGTGCATGTTGGTCTTTTCCCCATTTTTATGATCTCTTTGGGATACAGACCTAGAAATGGTATTGCTGGATCAAACGGTATGCCCAGTTTGATTGCCCTTTGGGCATAGTTCTAAATTGCTCTTCAGAATGGCTGGATCAGTTCATAACTCCACCAGCCTTAGTGTTCCAATTTTCCCACATTTCCAACATTTATCATTTTCCTGAAGAATATTGATTTGTTGGAGGAAATAAGGGGTTTTGACTCAATGTCCTTTAAGGTTAATTAATACTCATGTGACTTTGGACAAGTCATTTTCCATCTCTAGGAGTCAGTTTCCTCTTTTGTCAAAGTGAGGGATGATCTCTAAAGTCTCTTTAAGCTCTCATAGAATAGCTAGGTAGTGCAGTAGATAGAGTGCTTGAGAAGACCTAGTTCAAATTTGGCCTCAGACACTTGCTAGCTATGTGACATGGATAAGTCACTTTGTCTATCTCAGTTCCCTTATCTTGAAAATGAGGATAATAATAGCAATTATCTCCCAGGATTGTTACGATGATAAAATGAGATAATATTTGTAAATCACTTTGTAAACCTGAAAGATCTATATAAGTGCTAGCTACCATTATTATCTAATCCTAGGGGATAGGTGGAAGGGAGTGAGGTCGTATGGATGCCTGTGACATGAGGCTATTTCTAGAACCATTAAGCCTTAATAGTATCATGGATTAATGTTATAAGATGCTTAAGGGTATCAAAATATGAAAGCCAAATCCAAAGAGAGGCTTTCCTGAATAAATATTGCTTAAAATGTGACTATTTATTATCACAGCAAAGATTTCCAATTGTTACTGTGCGTGAGCCTCAATTTGGACCTACTGTAGAATCCCCAGGAAAGAGACAAAGATTCCCAACCCAGTCACCATTTCTCTATCTTCTTTTCAACCCCTTTCTGTTCCCACTCTTCTCCTACACACACTAAGGCAATTGCCCATTCAAGAGACCACATCTACTGAGAGGAAGGTTTCTCGAGATCATTCAGCTGCTGTTTCATCAGTGTCATCATTATCACCAATATGGAGGCACTATAGTGAATTTGAAGTCAGAGATCTTGGCTTAAATCCTGACACTACAACTTTCTGTCTCTGTGACCTTGAGTAAATGACTTACCCTCTCTGGGCCTAAGTTAAATGAGGGGATTGGACTTCATGGCCTCTAAAGTCCCTTCTAGCTCTAGATGTATGAGCATCATCATAACTACTGAGATTCATAGAGTGCTTTAAGATTTGCCAAGGTCTTTCTGTAGGTGACCTCATTTGAACCTCCTAACAAAACTCTGAAGTAAGTACCATCATTGTTACTATTAGCCCTATTTTACCATGGGAAACTGAAGATAGAACATTTAAGTGCCTTGCCCAGGGTAACTAAGCAAGTAAGTGTCAGAGGTTAGTTTAAAACCCCGGTATTCAAGACTTTGTTTCCCAAGTTCTGCCTCTACAATATTTCCTTGGTCTCCAGTTGCCACTTCCCTCATTTGGACGTTATATACCCTAGTAATGTCTATAGACAAATCGATGATAGATTGATAAATGATAGATACATAAGTGGCAGAGAGATAATAGATGATAGATGATAAATTATAGATAAATGATAAATAGATGATAGATTGGTAGAGGATGCCTCAGACACTTATTAGCTGCGTGATCCAGGCAAGTCATTTAACCCTGCTTGTCTCAGTTTCCTCATCTGTAAAATGAGCTGGAGAAGGAAATGGCAAACCACTCCAGTATCTTTCTCAAGAAAACACCAAATGGGGTTAGGAAGAGCTGGACACAACTGAACAATAACAAGATAACATGATGTGGAAATGATCAGGAAGGCACTGAAGGGCTGATTCTGGGGAAGATAAGGCAAAAGCTCACTTATGTATTCAGCACCCCTGTCAAAGAAAGGCAGTCTCTTTCTTCTTTGGCACTGAAAATGTCACACTTTCATTCTTAGAGTATGCCTGTTACCTCTATTTACTGCTTTTCCTCCATCTCCCCCTCCCAGCAAAGGAAGGTAGAGGAGCAGATTATTTTAGTTAGTAGTTACTATGAGCTCAGAGGGTGATTCATCCTATGTTTCTAATTTAGTAGAAAAAAACCTCCTTCCACACATCATCCCTCCTTTGGGGACCTTCAACCTATCCCTACGGTGAGGCTGAAGAGAGAGAAAAATACAATGGCACAGGGCAGGTGAACTTTTGTCCATCTTTCATAGTTTTATCTCTGGCTCAGAGGCTTGTTTGACTATTCTTCACTTTTCCCCACCCTCCTTCTCTGTGTAGATCTGTATTATAAAGTTATGGATCACTTTTCTTAGTTCTTGGAGCAACTTATAATTAAAACTCACACTTAACTCTTACGGAAATTTAGTCTACTGAACCCAAATCTCAGTGGAGGCTCAAAACAGAAATGAAGGACAGCCTAAGATACTAGGTTATGACACAAATTAGGAGTTCTTAACCTGGAGTTTGTGGATCTTAAGGGGGATCTGTGGATAGATTTAATGGAGCCTGTGAATTTTATTTTGGTAAAATATTTGGATAACTATTTCAATATAATTGTTTCCTTTGTAATCCTATGCATTTTATTTAACGCTCTTAAAAACATTATCCTGAGAAGGGTTCCATAGGTTTCACCAGTCTGCCAAAGGGGTCCATGAAACAAGCAAAAAGGTTAAGAATTCTAACACTAGATAGACTGTCCATACTTTCAACTCACAGAGATCTAGCAGTTTGAGGCACAAAGTGATTCATTACTTGTGGGGTGAGTGAACATATTGTGTTATTCAACCATTAACTTATCCTCATGGTTAAGAGCTTTTCATTTACTTAGAATTCCAGTTACAAGGCAAACTTCAAATTGACCAACTAGGATTTTTAAAAGATGTGGATGAAAGTTGGAAGCAGGGACAATTAATAGAGGGTAAATGTGAAAGGTTGGCATAGTTTTCTTAGAATAGTTCTAAGAGGGCCATAGTTTAGCCATGTTGATTAAAAGGGGTTTTGGTTATACTGGCTTTCCCCAAAGGGTAAGATCTAAGGAATGGGACTATTGTTGTAGGGAGGCGTAGGATAATGATAACTACCAGCAGAAAGAATGAAGCACTGCATAACTTTGCTTTTGTTTTCTCTGCCAAGAATGAATGGCAGAAAGAGGTATAGAGAGTATCAAATATAGATTAAGGAAACCCTGCCTTCAGATTCCATCTCTGATGCTAGGCTAGCTTCATGACTATAAGCAAACTCTCATTAGGCAACATTCCAAGACTTATTTACTAACCTTTATATAATCTGCATCTCAAAGCCCATTGGCATGGAACTGTCCTCATTGATGAATTGCAGTCTATATTGGTGGAAGTTCCCACACAGCTACAAAATCAAAGCCCCTTAATGTATTGACATTTCTCTGCAAAGGAAAATGGTCATTAGATTGGAATAATAAGATAAACACATTAATAGGCAGTTGATAACTTAAGAAAGATAGGGATGTAATTAGAGATAGTTGTCCTTGATGAGTTCAGATTACCAGTACCACATAAAATACATCCTGAGGTACTGAAGGAATTTACTGAACTATGATTGTCTGAAAAATCATGGGGAATGGGAGAGGTATCATGGGAATGGAAAATGACATAAATAGTCCCATCTTTCAGAAATGAGAAGAAAATGAAATCTGCAAACTACAGGCCAGTAAGCTACACCTTGAATCTTGGCAAGATTCTACAATGCGTTATTAAAGAGATGGTGAAGGCAGTTTGGTACAGTGTATAAGGTACTAGATTTGTAGTCCCAGGACCAGATTTTAAATCCTGGTTTTGCCACTTAATACTTGTATTCCTTTCAGGAAGTCACTTAATTTCTCTGCCTCATTTGTTAAATGAGTTGGTTGGACAAAATAACATCTAAGATCTCCCCAGCTCTAAAGTTGTGATCTCTTGAACACCTACAAAAGGAAGAGATGGTCACAAAGTACTAAACCGTCTTCAGCAAGAAAAAAACAAAACATATCAACAAACAAAAGTACCAAGTCAAACTTCAGCAACCTAATTTGCTTTTTTGGAGGGTCATTAAACCATGTTGTAGTTATAGTTTTCCTGGAGTTCAGAAACGTACCCAATGAGTGCTCATCCTATTCTTGTAGGAAAGATGACATTTACTAGATAATAGTAGTCATCTGGCTTTTGAATGGTTGGGTTGGATCTATAGAGTACAAATTAATGTTTTGATCTCAGCTTGGAGCACCTTAGAGATGCATGCTTGACCCTATGTTATTGAACATTTTTGTCAATGAGTTGGTTAAAGCCATAGGTGGCACATTTCTCAAATGAGACAACAATGAGGAATAGTTGACAATAATGACAATTGGGACTCACAAATAAGCAGGCAAATGTTGAATCTGACAGAGTGCTGGACTTAGAACCAGGAAGACCTGAGTTCTAACTCAGTTTCAGACATTTACTAGTTGTGTGATCTTGGGTGAGTCACTTGATCTCTGTGTGCCTTTGTTTCTATATCTGTAAAATGAGGATAATAATACACCTATTTGCCGGGTTATCATTAGGATGAGATGAGACAATATTTGCAAAACACTTTGCAAAGTTTAAAGTGCTACATAACTCCTAGCTATTATACTTTATGTCTGTGAAGGATGAATTGGCTGAATCTAAGAAGATGAAATTTAAAAGGCAAAAATTAATACTTATTGATACATACATACATTTGATGACACATTGGCAAATATACATGTCCTGTGTATTGATTTTAAAGAGCTAACCTCATTTAAGGGCTTATTTATTTCTAATTTAATTTAATTTATCTCAATGAACAAAAAACGCTTAGGTTCAAAAAGTCAACCATCACAAGTGAAAGATAAAAGAGAGGTGTGGCTAATCAGTAGTTGATCTGAAAATGACCTTGGGGCTTTGGTGGACTTTAAGGTCATTATGAGTCACCAGTTTGTTATGAGAGCCAAAAAATATGATGTGGTAATGGGCTACATTGAGAGAGATAGAGTATCCAGTAGCACTGTATTCTGCCTTGATCAACCTGCGTCTGGAACACTGTACCCACTGTTGGTGTCTCATTTTAGGAATAAAAATGGCAAACTGCAGACCAGAGGAGGACAACCAGAGTCTGAAGGGCTTCAAAACAATAAAGCTCAGTAGAAGGAATTAGGGATTTAGACCAGAGGAGGGAAGATTCAGGGGGTCCTGATAGTTCTTTTCAATAACCTGAAGTCTGGCAAGGGGAATTGGAATTAGGTTGGTTCTGTTTGGCCCTGGAGGATAAAACTAGGAGCAAGTGGTGGATGTTGCAAGCACAGGTGTAAGGAAAGTCTTCCTAATAATTAAGAATAACCTGAAAGTGGAATAGGTTACCTCCGGAAATGCTGAGGGCTCCGTGGGTAGACATATTTAAGCAAAAAAGATTCTTATTTTGGTAGGGATTGGATTAGAGTCCCTTTGAATCTAGTTGTGAAGTGTACTTCTTCCCAAACTACCTTGTCTTCAATTACTTCGTACATATTTATATTTGCTCCCTTTACATTGATGATGTTTATATACTTTTATAAGTTGAATACCTCACTAGAATGTCAGTTTTTATGAGGAAGGAGTTTGCTTTTTTTCTACTTGTGTCCCTAGCACCTAGAACAGCGCCTAGTGCATAGTGGGCACTTAATACTTAATTGTTTGATACATGGGTACATTTGATGGTAACATTTGCATGTCCCGTACATCAATTTTTAGGAGATAATACTGTTTAAGGATCTATTTATTTATTTCTAATTTAATTTATTTCAATGAACAGAAATGTAGTTTCTCTCTATCTCACTACATCTACCCTTGCAACAAATACACACGGTTAAGGAAAACTAACATTTGCCCACATTTACCATTACCACCTCCCAAATATATGTATATATATATGTTTATAGTATTGATGAGAGATAACACTTAATAGCCTTCCTCATCCTCTACCCTCCCACTCCCAAGTCCTCCTCAAAGGTCCTAAAGAGCCAAAAGAGAAATTAATTTCACAAAAATTCTTGTCCCAGAAGCAACTAAGAGGATGAGATAAGCTAAAGAATACAACATCAAACATCTGTAATCCAGATGGGCATGCTGTCAGGGGGCTAATATTTATCAGGCTTTAGGTCACGCAGGAGATGTGAATTATGGACAGACTACCTGGCCAATTGCGAAGAATTACATCAAGCTGCCAATGTGGCTAGTTACTGAGTGGGGGTGGTGATGGTGGTAGGGTCTAAGCAACTCCACCCTGGGAGGTTCCATCATAGGCCAGGGACAAGAGAGTAGGACACTTAAGGGAAATGGAATCACTGGATTCAAGACCCTGATCAAGTCAGTTCTGGGAGCTGAGCAAGGAGCATCTTTGGCTCCCTAAAGAAAATGATCTTTCCCCTCAGAACTTTTCTGGGTTTCAGATTCCTCCCAGATGGTTCTATTCTTTCCCTTAAAACAATGATAGAGAGACAAGGGTCTCTCTGCTGTTGCCCCTGTTTCTTTTGCCTTCCTCGCCTCCTCTTCCTTCTCTAAGCTCAGCAGGGACCAGCTCTGCAATTTGACGTTTGCCTTTCTTTGTTGGCTTCTGTGTCTCCGTCCTCTTTGTTATAATAGGGGGAAACATCATAGAATGAAAACAAGTGACTAAGCAAGGCTTAACTGGGCCATCAATCACTCCATCTCAGTCCAAGCTGGGAGGCAGACAATGGATGTCGGATGCATTTGTTTTCTAGAGTTATGTGTTGGGGCCTCTGTCTCTGTGTGTGTCAGAGTGACTCATTGTCTGTCTCTCCGAGTCCCTCTCTGCATCCCTTTCGTGGTCTGCCTCCTCTCGCCAATGTTCCGAGCTGGGGTGGGCTGGGTGTATTAGAGGCAGTAATTTGAGAGAGAGGGCTTGCTATACTCTGCAGGAGCCCAGATTTTCTGCTTAGAAGCAGACAGGTAAGAGACAGTTAGAGTCTCTGCAGCTGTGTGTTCAAAGGAGGACATTCCCTTAGGAAACTGACAAGGGTGTGTGTATCTGTCTGTGTGTGTGTGATGGAAAAGAGAGCAGGTGGAGATGTTTGCTGCCCGTGAGGCCCCACCAGTACCTGGTTTCTCAGATCTAGCTCCTCTCTCCACTCACCCATTCTTGCTGGCGGCTGGGCCAAGGGAACAGCTCAGCTGGGGCCCTGCGGTGTCAGGGTCTGTTAACCATCATCCAGACTTCATTATAGGTTTCGTTTGAAGTCAGGATTGAAAGTTCCCTGAAGCCAAAAAAAACATGCTAGGGGGAAAATAAGCGTAAAGGGGTAGGAGAGGGCAGAGAGGGAAGAGGGATGAGGTAGAGAAAGTGAAAAACGAGTAGCAAGGAAACCTCTCAATCTCTCCATCTCCGAATGCGTAAACAAGAGCAAACTGGAAGCCAGTGACTCTTCTTCACACTTCCTTCACCTGGCTAAGGGAGCCAGAGGGAAGAAGGGCACCTTGCGCACCTTGCAAATGAGCCAGGAAATCTTACTGGTCCAAAGGACAGGGTGGTCCACCCCCTCCCTTCTCTGCATTTCTCTCTTTCCTGTCTTAGCCCACTTCCCCTTTCACAGCCCCAGTAGATGTCCAGGTCAGAAAACAAGTAAAACCAGCATTTGTCCCCACTCATCTGGCACGCTCTTTTAGGTGAGTGGTTAGTAACCATTTCCACAGCTGCCCTGACTTGTTTTTCTCTCCCTGTTTCTCTTCTCCTTTTAAATCCTTCCTTACTCAATAGGACTGTGATAGAGCAGCAGAACCTATGGCGACCAGGACTGAGTTAGTGCCTGGCGCATGGTAGGCACTTACTATGTTTATGGATTAAGTGACTCCTCATCTGAAAGTCTCAGAAATATATCTCCTTTCTCTCCCTTCCCCCATTTCCAGACAAAATTAATTATCACAGCAACTGGTCACCTAGCATAGTAGAGAGAGTCTTGGATTTGAGGGATCATAGGACCTTGGTTCAAATTTTGCCTCTGCTGCTCACTTCCTGCCTAATCTTGGACAATTTCCTTAACTTCTCTGGGTTTCCGTTCTTTTCCTACAAAATGAGAGGATTGTAGGATTACAAAGGGACCAATTAATGTTGACATATTATCTATCAACATATATATATACATATATAAAATACATAAATGTATATATGTATAAAAGTTCATGGGCCCCCTCGTTAAGAATCTTTGGCCATGATAGCCTTTCAGCTTTCAATTAATAAACCTATGAACTCCTATTTCTATGGAAGGTTAAAATATACAAAATGCTAGCCTTGATTAGAACTTGGGATCTTTGAGGTAAGGGACCCTGTCTTTTGCCTCTTTTTGTGTTTCCAGTGCTTAGCACAGTGCCTGGCACATTGTAGCTGCTTAATAAATGCTTTCTGACCGATGGGCTCACAACCAGGCCCTGAGGTACCATACTGCAGTAGAAAGAATTCTGGCTTTGAAATGAGTTCAAATCCCAGTGCAGCCCCTTACTACCTGCGTGACCTCAGGGGAGGCATCTCTCCTCTCTGGGACTCAGTACTCTCATCTATCAAATGATTAGGTTCCGTGAGATAGATGGCTTTCTCACTCAAAGTTTATGATCCTGAGGTAGGGAGGCAGCTAGGTGGTACCATAGTCCACAGAGCACTGGACCTGAAGTTAGGAAGACCTAAGTTCAGACCCAACCTCCAATGCTAGTTGTGTGACTATGGCTTAACCTCTGTCTGCCTCAGTTTCCTCAACTATAAAATTGGGATTATAATAACACCTACCTCCCCGAGTTGTGAGGATAAGAAGAAAATATTTGTAAAGTGCTCAGTACAGTGTCTGGCACGTAGTATGTATTTCCAAATGCTTGTTCCCTTATTCCCTAGAGAATATATCACTATCCTTATTTTGCAGATGAGGTAACTTAGATGCAACATATATGAAGTGATTTGCCTACTGTCACATAGCTAGTAACTAGCAGAACCAGATTTCAAACCTGTTTCCTGTCCAATATGCTCTTGAGTCAACATGTCGCTTGTTCAAGATGTACTCAACTGAAAAGAATTCTCAAGACAATTCCAAAGGAAGCATGATGAAAAATGCTATCCCCCTCCAGAAAGAGAACTGATGAGCTCTGAATGTGGATTGAGACATATTTCCCCCTTTTTCTTTATTTTTCTTGGGGTGTGTGTGTGTGTGTGTGTGTGTGTGTGTGTGTGTGTGTAGCTTCTTTTGCAAAATGGCTAATGTGGAAACATGTTTTGCATGACCACATTTATAATCGATATCATATTGCTTGCCTTTTCAAGGGGTGGAGAGGGTTGGGAAGAAGGAAGGGAGAGAATTTGGAACTCAAAATTTTTAAAAATGCAATTGGGAAATATTTAATGAAAGAAATAAAAATATATTAATTAAAAAAAAAAGAGATATACTGGACTTAAAGTTAGGGCAGGATCCCATCCTACTGCTTTGCCCAGGAAGAAAAGGGAAGTAATGCTTTCTTATTGACAACAATAAAATTGTGCTTTCCTCTGGCCTTACTACTATTTTGAGGTATATAGATAGCAACAATAGACAAGTGGTCTCAGAGTGACAGAATGGCCCTGTCTTATCACCTCAGCTCCTTCTCTTGCTGCAGAGACTAGAGCTTCTTATTTACATAGCAGCGTGGTTGATTAAGGCATAAGACTGTTTTGAGGATTTGGCTGCCTCCTACCGTTTACTAGAAGGGGAGAGTATGCAGCGTAAAGGAGGTAGGTCATCAATTAAACTGCAAGGAGTGTGTATGGGATGGGAACAAGGATAAATGCAGGGTCATCCGATAAAGACAGAAGGAACTACTACACCTGTTCTGTAAGAACTGAGAAGCATGGAGTGAGCCCAACATCCCAAACTGACATTATAGTGTCAGAATTGCTGTATTTGTTACTCCTTTGAGTTGACCTTGGACCCCCAAAAGAAGACATAATAGTTGTCATCAAATATCTGAAAGGGTATCTTAAGCTCCCTGAGAACAAAGACTGTTTTATTTTGGTCCTTCTATCACCAGCCCTAGAACCTGTACAGGCCCTTAATAACTTTTTGTTGATTGATTGATTAATTAATTGTAGAAGGGAGATTAGACTTCTGCCTAGCTCCAGAAGAGAGAACTAGCACCGTAGATGGTCATTAGGAAAATAGATTTTGCCTTAATATAAGAAACAATTGCCTAATGATTAGAGATGCCTTGTGAGAGGAGTTCTTTATTCCTTGAAATGCTCACATAGGGTCTGGATGACTGCACTTGTGAGGGATGTTGTAAAGGAAATGCATATAATGGACAAGGAGTTGGGCTGCATGACTTCTCAAATATCTTCTAATTCTAGGATTCAATGATTTTGTGACTGAAGGTGCTTGGAAAAATATTATTTGGAAAGGAAGACACATACAGCCATTATTATCCTCAGTACTTTGTTATGAATTAGCTTATCAGATAATTAGTCCAGAGAAGCTTGTAGAAATAGAACACATACTGGACAGATAAGTTTTGATGAGGTAAAAGAGATTCAGGAAAATTTTCCAGCTTATAGCCATCACTGAGAGAGCATTTGGGTTTGGCTAGCCATAAGCTAGCATGAGAACCTTTTTTTACCTGGGAAAGGGATGTCAAATAGGAAGAAGTCCTAACACAAGGCTTAAGAATGAACAATTAAACTTTGGCTTCTTCAATACTGTCTGTGGGTTAGTGGGTCCTTAGGTCTGGTGGTTAGGCTCTTGGTGGAGCACACCAAGGGATGAGTACTATTAATTGTCTAGATTCTGCCTCCAATGTTTCTGCCATCATAAGGTTGGCAAGTGAGAACAGTAGACCATACTAAGAGTTCACATTTGCAAAACACTTAAAAAAAAGATTAATTGCTTTTCTTACCTACTACCCCATGAGGTAGGTAATACAAATATTATTTTCCCTGTTTCAGGGATGAGGAACCTTAAGATCAGAGAGGTTAAGTGATATATCCAAAGTCATACAATCTGTAAATGACAGGCCTAGGGCTACAAGTCTGCTATTTGTTTCATTGTCTCACACGGCCCTTCTACTAGTATCCCTTTTTCTCTAAGTACCCCTCCAGATTTTGTGTGTTGGCAATGCAGTGGTATAGGATAGAGACTCAGGAGGATGGTTAGTGACAGGAAGAGGGTATGTGGGATAGAAGGCAATTATATAGGCAGGTTACCTCAATCTTAAGGCAGTGTGTATAGGATGGGTGCTATTTCCACTTTTGAAATTTGTACAAAGAATGGATAGGATTTCTGTAGGTCTGGAGAAGAAAAGGCATACCAAGAAGAGATACAGAGTGGTCAAAGTCTGGGAGGCATGGATCCAGAGATAGAAAAAACTTAGAGGTCATATGGCCAAAGCTACTTTTTTATACATAAGGAAACTGAGGCTCAGGGAGATTAATTGACTTGCCTGAAGTCACACAGGTACTTCTTATCAGTGGTGGGATTTGAACCTAGGTCTTCTGATGCCAGAAACAGGTTTCTTGTTTTCTTTTTCATTGCACCATGCTCCCTCCTTGTGAAGGCTTTGGCTGTATTCACTTCCTCGGGAACATGTTTGCCAACTAAAGCTGCACCATATTAGTGTATTGCCAGCCCCTTCTTCCAGCTAGCAAAGGCATCAGTCATCACCAGTACTGTAGTATCATAGTGATGTGTGAATGTTATAGCTACAGTCCTATAGTGCTTCCCAAATTACACAGGTGATCAAAGCCTGAAAATGGTGAGTTCCATTTCAGATTTGTTGAATGTGATATGCCAGCAGGACATGCAGGTGGAGAAGGAGTCAAAGGTACTGGGTTGTTTATGTATGTATGGTATGCAAGGGGAACACAGGGCCAAGGCAAGCATGTGTAATACATTGGCAGGATAAAACTTAAAAAATGTTTTTAGATTTTGCCCAGGAAAAGGGATTTCTCATTAAGCTGAAGCTTGCCTTATCCCTAGATAACCTTTCCTCTCTTATTCTCCATCTATGGTCCATTATCTATGGACCTTGAAACACAAGGAACTAGTGAAGTTGTTTTTTTTTTTCTGCCTCTGCTTTGAAAAAAAGGTTAGCTATCCATCCAGGAAGATAGTTTGAAATCGTTGAAAGGTTGGGCACTTTACAAGATGGGACTGGGCAACCTCATCTTCCTAGATGTTGTTTTGGTTTCTGTTTGTGCTCTATATACAATAAATGATCAAAAGTCCGTATTGAATGAATGAATGAATGATACAAAGTTGGTAGGAATATATGACATGATGCATGATGGAGTCAGGTTCAAAATGATGTCAATAGATTCAATTATAGGAAAAATCAACAAGATGGATTTTAATAGGGAAAAAGTCCTTCATTTAATTTTTTAAATTCAATTGTATAAATGTACAGCATGAAAGGGAGCTGGCTTTTCAGTCCTTCCTGTTAAAAAAGATGTGATGTTTTTAGTTGATCTCACATTCAATATAAACCAAAAGTGTAATATAGCAGCTGAAACAAGTTAATATAATTCTACTTTATAAGTACTTTGTTGGATACACTATTTCATCATTGGCAGCACTCCTTCCATGGAGGTCACAAAACAACTAATCCCCCCTTCCTTCATCTATGAAATTCTTAGCTGTGGATATCCATAAATCTTTCATGGAGTGGTTAAGTGTTTGCCTAATGTATTGGAGATTTACCCATTCCCCCCCCCCCCCATATTTTAATATCTAGGGAGTACCGGTATAGGATTTGGGCTGTCTATTTTCTCTCATTTTCATTATATGGTAAGCCTATTTGCATTACCAGTTTGATATATATATATATATATATATATATATATATACACACATACATACACACATATCTCTCTATCTATCTACCTATATTATATGTCACAGAATTTAAGAGCTAAAAGGTCTATCAAAGGTCATTATTGTAACATATATCTAACCAAGAAACTTTACTATCACATCCTCAACAAGTGGCCCTCTATCCTCTGCTTGAAATCTTCCAGTGAAAGGGAAATGGCTACCACTGAAGAAAGCCCAAGCCATGTTTGGAGAACTCTTATTACATAACTTTGTCAATGATTTTTATGCCTTTTTTCTACATACAAACCTTGTTGGGAATATTCTACAACCTGTTTAAACTAATTACATACTTTAATGTTGCTTTTTAAAGTTCTTATAAATTTAATTTTTTCTGGTATTGTAATATTCTTTGATTCATAGCCATATCATGACTCTTTTATATATACATACACACACACACACACACACACACACACACACACACACACACACACACATATATATATATACATATATATATACATATATATGTATATATATATATATATATAGAGAGAGAGAGAGAGAGAGAGAGAAAATAACAACTGACATTTATATATCACTTTTAAGTTTGCAAAGCACTTTAAAAATATCTCTTTTTAAAAACAAATATTATCTCATGAATGTTAATGAATGGTCTTTTGCATCAGTGGCAAATTTGGTAACATTAAAAGCATTGCATAATTTTCCAAATATAATCTAGCCTGATTTCCTCCTTTTATTTGAGCCCAGAATATTGTTCATCCACAGCAACATGACATGTTGGAAAGAGTATTGGCTTTTATCAGAGGGCCTAAGTTCAAATTCCTCTCCTGACACTACTTGTATGACCTTAGGCAAAACATTTAACCTCTTTGAGTCTCTTTATTTTGTAAAATAGGGGCATTGGACTAGATGACCTCTGAGATCCCTTACAACCATAGATCTGTGATTCTATGTGTATAAATTCATGGACTAACATATAATTTACTTGTGTGTCATAGTCTGGACAAATAAAAATTTAATTTACAAATCTTTTTGGTGGGTGGTTATATTAATCTGTTTTACATTTCTTTAGATTCCATTAAGACATCTTTGAAGTAGTGTTGGGCTTTATGAAATTAGTTCTGTGCTCTGTGAATAAAAACACTTGGGGAATTTTAATATCAATAGGGATTCCTTCTTTTGTCTGTAGTATGATGTTGAAGACATTAAGTATTCTCT